GTAGTCAGTCCAGGTAGCACAGACAGCTGCGACCGCGGCTCGCACTCAGGCAGTTCGAAAAGTCCTTTCAAAAAAAAGAAGTGGTGTCGTTTCAAAACGTGACACACGTTCTTCCAACTCTAAGTGTGCTTGTTTTCCTTCCGTCAATTCATCCCGAAGCTGCAGAACAGTGTCATCAATTTTGCGGCTCATACATGTTTCATGCTGCGAAAGTTCTTCTCGCACCGCGCTGATATTTACTCTGCTGGTAGTGGGTTCCGATAGGTCTGTTGACAAAGCTCTGGGTGTTGCGTCCCTTGCTGACTGTTTGCTGCGGGCCGCGGCTTCTTTTTGTCCGGTGTTCCTTCGGGGGCAGCTCTCTTCGTTTGCAGCTGCGTGTCCATCGTGTCGTTTTCGAATTGTATGAACTCCATTTCGAATCAGTAGACAAGATGCTGCCATTGTGCGCCTTTGAGCTGGCTTCCCCGACTGTTCAGAACGTTTGTATTGTCTGGACCCAGGTTTCTTCGAGTTTGTTTGTTGGAATACAATTTTCGTGTCATGCCGCTTTAAGCTTCCGTCTGAACACTGGATAGAGGCATGGCACCACGCATTTATCTTATCCAAACCTAGCTACAGGCTTGAGCCTTGGCAGTTCAGCCTTGATCCACGACAACGGAGTTTCCTCTCTCCGGTAAAAACCCGAAGAAGAGATCTGGCCGCCAGCGGAGAGCATCGGCATGGCTTCTGCCAAGGCAGCCAGAGTCAAACCAGCGCCGGCAGCCAGGGCACGCAGCTCGCCGTGCTCCCCCAAGGCCACGCAGCGCAGCATATGGGCGCTTGCTGGAGCAACCCGAGCATCCAGGCGCCAAGGTAAGGCCGGAACAAGGCCCACGGCAGCAGGCCGAAGAAGGCGGGCAGCAACGCGGGCCGCATACCATCCGCGCGATGCGACCGACGCCCCCAACCTAACCACGTGGGTGAGTAGCGAAGCGCTGTCATGCGCAACGCGGGAGCTTCGCTACAACAAGCTTACAGGAATCCACGTCGCCATTTACTAAGTCAAAACATGTTGGCGGCTTGCACCCGGCAGGGAGGCCAGAAGGCTAGGGTGAGTCAGGCTGGTGGTGCCTGGACATGCCACGGGGCAGGGGGCTCGATTCCCTGTCCCTTGCGCGAGCTGGGTGAGGCACTGTGGCCGAAAGGGACAAGGCCAAACAAGTCGGACAGTATGTATCAAAAAGCACAAAAAGACAGCACTGACAACATGACTTCTAGACATTGTATTCTGTGCAGACGCTCTGTAGTATGCCGCAAGCAGGTGGCACGTGTGAACTACTTCTGATGCCGCAAGTGCCGCATCACTTGTCATTGTGACATCGCACGAAGCGACTCACGCCCACAAACCGCTTCACTTCGACACCAGCGGCATGGAAGTGAGGCGGTTGTGGCAGCCGCCGCTAGGCGACGTTGCAGCCACGCGTGCTCTAAGCTTTCTGGACAAGCAGACCAAGTTGGCTTCAAAGAGGCCGCACCAAGGTTGTTTGTTCTAAGCTTCGTGTGCGTTTTGTAGTTTTGTCTAGGGCACAAATGTCCCTGGCGACGGAGACATGCATCATGACCACGACGATGACGACCTGGAGTGCTGAGGCCGCTACCTTTGTCTGCCACCTTCACGCGCCGCCACCATGTCGGCCTACACTCTCCGCTGGTCTGTGCTCCTTTCCTTCGCGGCCGCACGCTCTTTCGCAGCCAGCTTGATGTCTTTGCCCTTCACCGGTACGGCCAAAGTTGATGGTGAGTTGCCACCCCATCGACGTGGTCATGGCGACCTTCATCACCAGGGCTGCGCCACATTCCGGATCTTTTCTGGGCGCTGCCAACACTCTCAACTCGGTCCTGCGAGGTTCAGCTCTGGACAGGTATTTCGCGGACGCTGTGGACAAGATCCTTTGCTGCCAGGCCAAGTTTCACAAGGCGACGGCCCAGAGCTTTGGCTTCATCAACGACACGCGACTCCTGGCATAGGATTCGTGCATCTCTAGGTGTATGACAAGTGGGTCCAAGGTAGCAAGTCGGAGATGCTCAAGGGGGAGCTGCAGCCCCGCCCGCAGTTTCTCAAACGCCTTCGCGTCTACTCGGCTCAGCTTCAGTTTGTTTCCGTGATCTTCGGTACCCTGTCACCACATCATGCAGAGCTACTTGAAACCTTCGTGCATTCTGACATAACCGTCTACGCACCAAGCTTGAAAATGACTGCCCCTTCGGATCGAGTTCCGAAGTGGGTTGCGAGAAGTATTTTCGCGATGCAATCGACACGCTCCTGAAGGTCTTCAATCACAATGGCATCAAAGCTGACGGTGTGGAGCGCCTCTCAGCTGGAAAGTGTGCTTTGAGGAGGGAGCTCTACAACATGAGGAGTGGCAAGCCGCCTTTGACGAAGCGGGAGCTCAACTCCTCCCTCAACTCTAGGATTCTCATTTCTTGCACGCCGTGTCTTCCGTAGAGACTCCGTACGGCGCCTTTCTTTCCACAGAGACACTGTACAGTTTCCTGCCTCTGCAGTTGCATACTCCTCGCCCAAGACAAGAAAAAGGCAAGACCGAGATTTTCTGGAAGTGAAGCATAGGGGAGAGCATCATGCCGAAACACAAAGGCACGAGACAGTCCATTCAGAGGCCCGTCGATGGAGCATGCTGGAGCACGGGGCTAAGCCAAGCATGGCCTCAGCTGTCGCATGCTAACAACCGTGCGGCGGGCTCGACGCTGCACAGCCTCCTCGCCACAGCGGCGATTGCCGAGGGGCCATGCCCATGGTCCGCTTCTCACTTCATGCGCGTTGTGGTCATCCGAGACAGATTCCCCCAGACCCATCGCCACCTGCCAGTGCTTGGCACGAGCGCAGTGTAACGTGAACGCCGTCCTCCCAAGCAGGCTCTGCGCGTTTCACTCTGGGACCGCGGCTAAGCTTTAATTACAACCTCTTGTGTTGCCCGTCAGTTGGTGGCCGCTTGTGCAAATGCGAGTAGTGTTCGGGCAGAATGCTGTTCGAGATCGTCACAAGAATGCTGCTCGACGCGAGGTTATTTTAGGAGAAGATCTATGGAAGCTTTCATGCAATGGCCAAACCCAGAGGCCGCCCAACGCTAACCATGTCGGTGGGCAAAAAACAGAAACCGTTCCAAATCCTTCCAAATACCAACAAGCGTCGGGGGAAGCTGAGATGCTGTCATTCGCGGCTGCAGGCGTTGAATGTAGTAGGAAAACAGCTCATCGCCGCCAAGCCTCAACATTTCGGGTTTAGTCTGCCGAGCACGTTTGAAATGGTTTGTGCTGAAGAGATGCAACAACACAAATTTAAACTGCCCCATGCAGAACGATTGCAGCTTTCGAAGTTGTCGAGCAGAAAGCGCCGAGATGCTATTGGATGCCTGTATGGAGGTCTTGTTCAGAGTGAACTAGAAGGTTTGGTTTTTTGACTTGTTTAAGACAACTCGCACAATTTTAGTTTCGCAAGAAATTTTCGTCGGTGTGTTGGGAGGATAGGTGAAGCTTTGGAAGATTGGACGCAGCCAAGAAGTTGAGAAACAATACAGCAGTGGATCGGATGCGCCCCTTCTCGTAGTTCCGCAAATTAATTTGCCCGAAGACGCTCGGGAGAATTCCGGTACGTCGCAACACCGGAAGATCATGATTTTCGATATATGCGTTGGTTCCCACTGTACTGATTTCCCAAGCTATCCGGGCACGTTCACTCGAACAAACAGTCTCGCATGACAGTCTAGGAAGGCACCACAAACTTTTGGAAAAGGAACAACTGCTGAGAAAGAAAAGCGTCACCGAATATGGGTTGCACAATTTCAACATGTCCCGATTCGAAACTCTGCTGATGACGTAGGAACGCGATATAACGGGCATTTTGCACAGCTATCGTGTTTTGGAGGCCATCCGATGTTCTGAGTTATGCTTTATTCAGGCATGCAGTGTGCAAACGGCACTGCAGCTGAACTGTGCGATCTAGTTATCTAAATTAACCAGCCGCTATCTCGGAATAATGATGTTCGTGCGCACAGCCATTGTTTCAACAACACAAAAATTAGTGGGGACTTCAAAATGTAGCCCTAGCCATTAAAATTTTGGCCATGTTGGGACGGACCACACACGGTGCGAAGCTCCAACTCGGCGGTTTGGGAAGTCTGAAGCACGCATTCCTTCAAACAAGTTTGTGTGTGCACTCCGCTTCCGATAAAGCCGCACCTGTGTAGTCAGATGTGTTTGCACCGACCCTCGGCTTCGCTGCAATCCAACTTCGTCTAAGCTTTAATCACAGACAGTTGGTGGCCGCTTGTGCAAATGCTATCAGTGTTCGGGCAGAATGTTGTTCAAGATTGTCCAAAGAATGCTGCTTTATGCGAGGTTAGTTTAGGAGAAGATCTATGGAAGCTTTCATGAGATGGCCAAACCCAGAGGCCGCCCAACGCAAACCCTGTCGGTGGGCAAAAAACAGAAACTGTTCCAAATCCTTCCAAAAACCAACAAGCGTCAAAGGAAGTGTTCCAGTGGGCTTCATCGGAGTCTCGAGGCTTCTTGGCATAGGCCAAGTTCCCCGCGCAACCCTGCGAACTTTCGATCCTATGCTAGTTTTTCCCACCCACAGAAATGTACGTAAACCAACCAAACCATGCAAAGCGTCGTTTTGTTAGCATGGACGTTGTGGAAATTGTCCGGCTTGCATAAAGTGAGCTGCTTCGTTGAAGCCGGAACCCGCGTTTAAAGAAGCCACAAGCTTAATTAAACGATTTGCGAGGCTAGATAGGACAGGGCCTTGCACATGCGAATGGCTCCGGGGCCCATTGCCTCAAGCGAATTTTCCCGGCGCTCTCACAATGAGTTGGTGCCGTTGGTTTCGCTTTGTGTATTTGCAGCAGATCATATATTTTTTGCTTTAGCCCATTCAGCCTTTTCCGTTGAACATCACTTTACACATTCGTAGAAGCCTTGCTCCCAGATGCATATGGCCAATGAAGACGCTTTGCATGCTCGTTTCGCTGGTGATTGCATCTGCGACGTGGGAACAGTTGGTTGCATCCAATATCCCTGTTGCCCGACGGGGGCATGTAGCGGTTTGGGATGCAGTGGGAAACCAAATGCTAGTACATGGTGGAGAAAGCGGTCGACGCAGGACCACTCGCCGCAACGAGCTTTATTCACTGGATCCAGTGCAGGGGACCTGGACCGAGCTGTCCGCCAGTGGAAATTTCGTCGAGGAGCACACCGCAGCATGGGATGCTGCGAGCCGGACCATGTACATTCACGGTGGGTCCTCCAGTTTTGTCTATGACGATTTGGATGGGTATGCCGTGGGCAGTGGCTGGACAGCATACCAAGACGGTTATGCACGGAGGTTCGCAACGGCTGTGTGGAATTCGGAGGACGCAGAACTTCTGGTGTATGGAGGATGGACTTCTTCGTCAAGAACGGACACGTTGCTCGTCTACAGCTCTGGCACGAACTCATGGACGTCAACGAGCGGTGTTGCGGCAGGTCTCCGATCCAGCCATATGGCCGTGTGGGATGCGAGCACCAAAGTGATGTTGGTTTTCGGCGGGTACGATGGCTCAAATGTGCTGTCGGACTTGTGGGGATATGCTCGTGAAGGAGATTCGTGGAGTGAGCTTTTCCCAAGCGGCAGCTTGCCCGTTCGGCGGCACTCTGCTACAGCTGTGTGGGATCAGCCGTCAAGGTTGATGTTTGTTTTTGGCGGCATGTCCGGCACTAGCTCAGGGTACCTTGATGATCCTTGCCATGTTCAATTAGTCGTTGTCTTAATGCAAGTGCTTCGAGTTGGGGTTGCATTGGGAGTCTTCATCAGGAACGGCTTTGGGCAAGGGGCGTGCTGCTCCGGGACGCTATCGTGCAGGGAAGGGGGGCATCAGCAACTTCGAAGGTGAATGAGGCACTCCCCAAATCAAGTCAATCGAAAGAGATGGCTAGCCCAGCAGACTAAACTTCTAAACCGTCCCAGGATCTCTGCTCCTACGACGCGGCCTCCGATGCATGGAGTTTGCTGGACACTGCTGGCCCGACTCGGGCCTGGCACGCGGCGGTCTGGGCCGACGGCTGCTTCGGCCACAAGAAATGGGACCTTCCGAAAATTAGGGTTGCCTTATTTTGGGGTCCTTATAATAAGGATCCTACTGTTTAAGGTACTATATTAGGGTCCCTTATTTTCGGAAACTCCCAAGTACACACGGCGTTTTTAGGGGCACCACAAGGGTATCTTCATGGGTGCTATGAGGATACATGAAGGTCACTCTACGGGTCTCTCTGATGGGGAGGGGATTTCTTCCTCCTTGAAGAGGTATATACCCTCCACCCTCTTTGAGTTTTGTGCTTCGGAAAGCGATTGCGATTCTTTGGGGATGTTTTTGTTTGCTTTATTGGTCAGCAATGGCTTTCACAACGCCCGGTTGACAAAGTAGCTTCGTGCCACAGCCAGGTCAGATGATCGTCTATGGTGGCCATGATGGGACGAGCTTTCTGGGCGACGTTTGGATTTATCATCACAGTACCGTCACCACAACATCCGCGTCCACAACCAGCACAATCACGACAAGCAGCTCCACCACAACAACAGGCAGCTCCACCACAACAACCGGTACCTCTACAACCACCATTACTTCTACAACCACCATTACTTCTACTTCATCGAGTGGCAGCACAACCTTCACGGCGACGGTGACTACCACAACAGCCAGCTTTAGCATGACGTTGTCCACAACAGCCAGCTCTACCACGACGTTGTCAACCCTGACCACATCTACCACACGATCCCAAACCACCACAACCACGTCCCTAACAACGACGAGTTCAAGTGCGACCACCTTGTCGACCACTTCGTCCATGTCCAGCACGTCGACCCTCACCTCAATCACCGCAAGCAGCACAAGAACTGCAACCACTCTATCCACCACGGCCACCCAGTCAACTTCCACCTCGTCGACCCAGACGACCACGACATCACACTCTTCCACAACCACACGAACTCCCCAGCCGAACACCACCACGACTTCCTCCACACTAGTGCGGAACGTGGTCGTCCCTCCACGCGTGGCGTGGAGCCCTCATGGGCAGATTGTGGTCCAATCGCTTCAGAGCACCCTTTTGTTTGTTTCCGAGAGTGAAGACATGTATAGGACCTCTACAACTCTCGGCAACGTTTCGGCGGTGAAGCTCCCAAAGGAAGCTCCTGCGTCGCAGATGGTGCTCGAAGCGGGCGATGCCATTTCCCCGATCAAAGTCGTCCTGCCAGAGGCCTTGCTGCGGAGCTTCGCCGGAAGCGGAAACACCATCATGGTCGTCACGGAAGTGGCACCAGAGGAAACACACAAGTTCAATCAAGTAACCACAGCTGGTGAGATGGTCCTACTAAACTCTCCCGTGACGGAGCTGTCTTTCGCCAATGAACGAAATGGAGGCTTGACCCTGCTGGCCGTCAATGGGACGGACAGCATCGTGTTCATGCTCGCGAATCGCCCGGCATTGCCCGGTGAGAGGCGCGCGGTTTTGCAGCAAGAGTGAACATATTGAATTTAAGATGAGACCTCTTCACTGCACACCTGCTGTACCCACCGAAAGGTGTGCGTTTTATGACTTGGACCTGAACGCGTGGTCCGTCGCTGGCACAGAGCTACTCCCTAGCTTTGAGGCAGGCCAGCGGGCGAAAGAGCAGATCAGGACGGGCAGGATTCCCTTGAGCAACTATCAGCGGCAGAACAGGAACGGCCGTAGGTGAAATAGGAGTGGGAACAGGAGAGGCGCGAGAAGTGAGATATATGCAGATTGTCATGCAATAGGAACCCGAAGAAGAAATGTGCAACAGCGATGTTTAGGCTTAAACAACAGTTCTGGGCATATGATCCTTGCGGTTAATTTTTGGCGACATTCGGTTCTCCGAGCCGTCAAGATTTCCTTGTACAATCAGTATCGACGGCATTTGGTGTCACGACTTCGCGCAGGTGGACGGAGAGATCGTCAATGCATCCTGGTGCCAGACTACGCACACGTCACTGCTTCCTGGTTCCCTAAATCTCACTTTGCAGTTGTATCTTTGGTGCCACAGCTTTCGCGACGGATGTCTCTTACCAGCCCCAACCCAGCGCCCAGGGGCCCAGGCAGTATCAAGCCATTCCCCAAAAAAGAGCAGACCTCAGGTTCGGGCTGGTGCAGAGCATACCATGGGAGACCGCCATGGAGATCCTTGGAACTCAAGGAATGTACCTGACCCTAGGAACCAAGTAATTAACCCTAGGAAACTAGTAAACACCTCCCCCATCCGAACCTAGGGCCCGAAAGAGCATGGATCTTCATGAAATCAAGGGTTTCCCGTAGGACAAGCAAGATATTTGCGTGCTCGCCTCAAGAGCGATGGATACTCCTTGTCTCCGACGTGGGACCTAGAGGGTTAGGGGTTTGACAGCTGAGTGGCAGAGTCTGGGTTCAAACAAGGGTCCGACCGAGAGAGAGGGAGGGAGAGAGAGAGAGCAGTGGGTTTGAGGCGCTGCAGGGCTTAGGGCCCAGTTGGGGCGACAAGTGGGCTTCAGGATGGCGGAACTGCGTGTGGATGCGCAGAGCTACACGGCCGGGATCGTTCTGGTCCCTCAACACGCACTGGAATTTTCCTTCCAACAAAGCAGGGGTGTAAAAATGGAGTTCCGGTCTTTGAGCTCGCAGAGTTTCGAAGGGTAGAGTGCTTCAGATGCCTTACACCGTCTGCACGTAGTTTGGGGAGTCCATGGTTTGGGCCTGAGCTTTGAAGCAAACTCGATGGCCGCGGTGCTCATGTCTCCATGACTGACGAATGACAGTCAGCCGTAAGGTAGTTGAATGCAACAACTCCGCTAAGGTCGTCTCTTTCCTTTGCTTGTGCTGCTCATTGCTCTGCCCCTTCCTTAGCCGCCGCATTCGCGCGCCGACTTCGGGTCACGTGACTCTGAAGACTCTCGGTAAGATCAGTTGGTGTGCGCTTCGGGTCTGTGCCAACCTCTCAAACCAAGTGCAACCCATAGACTTGATAGGCTTAGCATCAATCTGGTGCTCCGAGATCGCGCGGTCTCAGCCCAAGACCCCACAATCTAAGCCGGAAGTTTCCCTTCTTGGTGTGGGGCTGACGATGACTCAGTCATAGAACTACATCTAAGACCTCAGCGACCGACAGTCCAACCCATGGGTACCCGCATATCAGTGCTATCATTATCATCGGCCATTTTCCTCAACAGCATCAATAGCAGCATCAGAGAGATCTTGGCAGAAAGGATAGCAAGCGCAAACATGATGTGTCGCTCAACGCGAGGAACCGTCACGGCAAGGAACGCCGCGTGTTCTTCGAGCGCGAGGATGCCAACCTGGAGGATACGGCACAGAAGGTCCTGGTGAAGTGGCAGATGGAGGCCGCGTGGAGCCTCCCCGGATGGGGCCTTTCAATTTCATGTCATTTGCTGCTTCGGAAGGTTCGAAAGCGGAGTGTCATAGTCTCAACCATGGATGGACTCACACATTGAATCATTTGCAGGATCGGAGCACCATGGAAGATTTGAGCAACTTGCGCGCATCTTCCCGACATGTCGTGGTGGACTTGAACCTGCTCTCTCCTCCTCGCAGCTCGGCTGTCCTTGTAAACGAGAGCATGTTCAGGAGTTCAGGAAGTTGTCGCGAAAGATATTTGACCGGCATTCACCACGTCCCTGGAACCTTACTGCAACCATGGGTCCTAAAGGCAAAGTGAACTCCTTGGACTCGCGCGTTGGGTCGATGCAGTCCAATGACGTCAGCCCAACACACACAGGCCAGTCGGATGGATCAGGCATTCGGGGTTGAGGGTGGTCGACAAGAGGATCAGGGCACTGGACTCACTGCTTCTGCTTAATTAGGGGTTGGACGGGCTAGAGAAACTGGTTTCGCGGTCTTCGCTAATCTTCGCCTCGGAACCTCACTGTACCGTCGCTGCAGGCGGCTTGATTACGAGAAGAAAAAGGCAGTGGCAGTAGTTGGCACCACTGCCACCATCCCTCCCGAAATTAAGCTAGTCGGGGTGGCCGGTATGTATGTATATGTATATATATATATATATCTGTGTGTGTGTGTGTTCGAAATGAACTTTGCGCCGTTCCGATGCATCAGGTACAAGCAGGAATCCTGTACATTGATCTTTTGTGGAACATTCGAGCTCAAATAACTTACTTGGAGTCTTCGGTCGTGGGACCGCCCCAGGCAATACCATTCTCGAGAGTTGTACATCAGGGGTGGGAGGGGTGGAATTCGCGGGGGAACCCCACGTACCTTAGTTGCGGGGGGGGGGGGGGGGGGAGGCGGTGCAGCTGGTGTTGCTGCACATGGAAACATATTGCACATGAATCATGAAGCATTGCTGATGTCAACGTGGACATGCCGGCAAGTAGTTGTGACGGTCACATCGCCACATCGGTGCGCTCACCCTGTAACCCGGCAAACTCTCCGACAGATGCACCACATGTTAACTCTATATGCAAGGTGCTCGAAACCTCTCTGCTTCCATCTGCAGGTGTCCAAGCGGAACAAAGACAGGTTGACAAGAACGACATCCAAGACTCAGATGGAAAACAGTCCTTGGGCTGGGATGCTTTTCACAACTCAGCGGATTCAGCTGAAGTAGTTTGCGCTGGCCTGGACGATGAATATCCAGCGGAGGCCGATGATTTGGTCTCTGCTGGCTTGGACGACTTGTACCCGATGGAGACCGATTCCATCGTGTCTGCAGGCTTGGATGACGACTTGTCTGTTGTGCTATCAATCGCGCCCATCGAGGCGTATGAAGATGGCGAATGGGTTCTGTATTTCTCCTCGACCCATTCCTGCTTGGTGCCCGCAAGAATCCTGGGTTCTGGCTTCTTCTTGACGGACGATCCAGGCGCGTCCGTTGCACGCATGGTGCTAGGCCCCCCTGTTCCGAACACAGAGCCTAATTATGTCACATGCAGATACTAGTCAGCGGCCAAGTCCACAGGGATAGCAAGAACAGCTGTTGAAGCTTTTCGACCCTAGTTTTGCACCAGTCCCAGGTGAGCTGCCCTTATACAGATGTCGCGTGGGCACCGGCCAAATGCGCGAGCATGTTCCGCTGCGTGCCCTCCGCACCACTCTCGAAGCTGGCGGGGGGTTTGGGGATTGAATCAGTAGCGACCAGGGTTTGGCACTGTGGAATTGGACGGACAATGTGCAGGCATTAAGCCTGGTTTTTGAGCTTCCAACCTATCAAAAATCCCTCGCCAAGTTCCATTAACGCTTCGGAGTGTGCCTGAAGACAGAACGTGGGAGATCGGAGTTTGCAAAGGGTTCCGCCTTCCGAGCTTTGTCTCTCTCGGCTTTGCCCGTGCCCCTGAAGGTGACAGTGTCGAAATGTATTCTGCCAAGCACAAAGCCTGGAAGCCAGCGATGGTCTTGAAGTCGCCGCCACTCCAACGGGCTCCCCATCGGGCAATGTTCCAGGTGCCCGAAATCGTCGAAATCTGACGATAGTACCGATAATTGGGTTCTTGAGGTTGCACGCCGCGCTTCTTGGAATGTGCTCGTTTGTTGCGGATAGTAAAAAAATCTTCCCAGCTTCCTGATCCAGCAGACGAATGTCTCATTTTGGCCGAAGCGGGACATCACCATTGCCACAATCATCTCGCGGAGTTGCCATGGGCTTCCCGCAACACTGGTAGCTTCTTTAGCCGTCACAAGACGTCATGCACAAGCGCCAAACCGTAAATGTTGGGGAGACCTGTGTGGAATCGTGGGCGCAGAAACCACAAGACCCATCTGTCAAAGCGATGCCTCAGTGTCTATTTTTTTGGCGACGTTCCGTATTTAAGGGATATATATTGGACCGACTGGAAAACGTTCAGGTCATGACTGAGGACACCTTCGACCGCTTCGAGCTCCCTTTGAGCTCTTTGCGTCGACGCTTCGCGGCGGGCATGGCCGTTGAGGCCTCCTCCTCCTCCTCCTACTCCTACTACTACTACTACTACTACTACTACCACTACTACTACTACTACTACTACTACTACTGCTACTGCTACTGCTACTGCTACTGCTACTACTACTACTGCCGCATTGTGCCGCGAACTTAGAACAATCGATTGAAAAGCAAATGTTGGTCAACTTGCCATCTTGTCAGCTTGGTCATCTTGCTCGGCCACTGGTCATCTAGGTCATTTTGGTCATCTTGTCCCACTTGCCTCACCTCGCCGACTGGTTTACCATTTAGACCAAAATGACGAAGATTGCATGGTCATCCTGTCCCCCCTTCAAGTGGGACTAGATGACCAAGATTGCTTGCAATCTTGCTCAAATAATTGTTCCAAATTGCCGGCACACTGTACTACTGCTGCTGCTACTACTACTTTAATACAGCTCCTACTGCTGCTGCGTCTACTACTACTACTACTACTACTACTACTGCTACTGCTACTGCTACTGCTACTGCTACTGCTACCTCTTCTACTACTACTACTACTACTACTACTCCTCCTGCTGCTGCTGCCCCTGCTGCTGCTCCGACTAAATCTTCAGACCCCGCAAATCCTTCCACCCTAAGCCCTGTCCTGAAGTTTTGCTCTAGGTCTACATCAGGGAGGGTGTTGCTTTCGTTTGCTTTCGCTTCTCCAGTCAAGTTTGTAGGGCCCGCCGGGCAAACCTTGACTTGACCGCTTGAGTTTCGGTACTTCAGGTGGTTTCCTTGCACGTTGCCATCATGGAGTGCAGGCATTACTACTAGCTTGGACTAGTTGCACGATTCCTAGTCTTCGGGTGGGTCTATGCACACAGTCATTGCAACGCCTGTTGACACACAACTCCTGCAAGGTCTACCTTGGTCGCAGCACTGGCTGGAGTCCCGCGGTGGTGGTCAACACAGCGGTCGAAGTTCCCATGACCACAGCTCCTAGGCTCAACCCTCATCTTAACATCGCTGATTCTAGACTTATCCCTCTCAGCGTGTATCGCTATTGAGACGTCGATGCTTCTTGTGACTTCTTGTGTTATTAGGCTGTCTCGAGCCACGTTCGGTTTACTTAGTAGCACGACGACGACTGCTAGGACTACTGCGACTACTACAACTGCTACGGCTAATATGACTAAGACGTGATTACGACTGCGACTACTAGCCACTACTGGCACTAAGCAAAGTAGTGATGGCACTACTATTTCTCCCAGTCGTACTACAACTATTTCTAGTACTACTACTGAAAATTGCTACAACTCCTACGACTGCTCCTGCTACCACTACTAACAATGGTAACAAAGTTACTACCACCTACTACTACTACTACTACTACTACTACTACTACCACGACTACCACCACCACCACGACTACTGGAAGCTTTGAGCCGTATGCCGCAAAACACCCGAAACATGCAGGCGTGAACCCATGAAGCACCAGCAGCACCCCGCATCACACCGAAATCCTTACGTAACTGCAGCAAGCACAAGCAGAAGTTCATTTAAACACGCAAAAAGGGAAACCGACCAGCAAACACAGACACACAGACACACAGACACACAAACAAGCGAACAAGCAAACAAACAAACAAACAAACAAACCATACGAACGAACCAAGCAAACGAACTAAGCAAGCAAGTAACACAGATAAACACACAAACCAATAAACCAGACAAGCAAACATACACATCCAAACCAGATAAACCAAGCTAAGAAATAAATCGAAAAGTAAACAAACCAAGCAGACTACCACAACAAACAACGACCAAAGCGAAGCAAACAACCCAAACAAGCAAGCAAGACAAACAAACCAAACACATAACCACAACAACAACTAAGGCAAACAGAACCAAACAACCAGCCAAATCACGCAAACAAAGCAGACAGAACACAAAAATAAACAAGCCCACATACAAACGTACATGCAACCAAGCAAACGTGCACATATATGTACATACATAATACAGAGACAGATGGAGACAGATAGGTAGAGATAAATACTTAAATACAGAATTTATATATGTATATAATATATATATATACATACATACGCACACATGTAATTGCAACATATGCAAGAAACCAGAGGCCCTCTCGGAGCTCTCCATGACGCACGTGGCCTCGGCAGCCTCTGTGGAGACCGGGGCCCTTAAAGACTTGGATAGCATGGTCCCTCGGATTCCAGCTTGCTTTTAGGGGCCTTTCAGAGGTTTTGGGTTTTAGGGTTTAGGGTTTGGGGTTTAGCTTTAAGATATGGGACTTTCCGAAAAGAAGGGGGGGTACCTTATTTTGGGGTCCTCATAATGAGGATCCTACTTCGGGTACTATACTAGGGTCCCCCTACTTTCGGAAACCCCCATATTTGGGGTCTTGGGGGATTGTGATCTGGAGTTGATGGTTGAGGGTCTAGGATTTGGGGCCTCGGGATTTTTTGGGAATTTCTTTCTGATTTAGGATCGATGGGTTTAAGTCTGGGCAAATACAAGATGTGATGAAAACGGCAGGACAAGGATAACCCCCGGATATTGAAGCAAACATGCTGTAAGCGTACTTTCTAAGGACTCGGAAAGGTGTACATCTCAATACCAAACCCTAAACCCTGAACCCTAAACTAAATGGCAGGGAAAAGAACCCTAAACTGAATTCTCCTGGCACTTCGCGTGGCTTTGTGGTCTACAGCAGCTCAAGGGTTTCGGATTTCGGGTTTGAGGGGCATTGTACGGTTGATGATGTTAAATCCGATAAAATAAGGAATAGACCGTAAAATCCCATAGTTTAGGGTCCTTAGGTAACGCAGGATCTAGATCATCAGCAGTGCAGCAGTTTAGGGTGCAAGTTCGGCATTCGGCCTAAGCTAGGGGGCTTCAGTAGGCTCTGCATCTTTGTAGTTCTACTTGGGGGTTCGTGGGTAGTTATAAGTAGGGTTATAAAACCCCCAAATATGGGTTATAGCTATAGTTACTTTACTTATAACCCCACTTCTAACTACCCATGAACCTCCAGGTAGATGGGGGTTTTGGCGAGCCTCGGTAGGCGTTGGGGCCTCTCGTTCTGGACTCCAAGGGTTAGAACGGAACATGGCAAAGGGATAGCAGGTTGGGAGGCAGCTGTGGCTTGAAGCTGAAGATGATGATGCAAACAACGGTTTGATGATGCCAGATGGAAGACCAGATGATGAGAGTTCGATCTTTGCCGTTATTTGCCGAACTCCAACCTGTGGCTAACTGCGAACCTTCCAACACGAAGCCCCCAATTTTTTTCTCTGCACATGGCCAGGTTCGCATCGGTTTCCCCGACTCCGCCCAGGAAGTGGAAGTCCCATCCTCTCAGTTGCGAAGCTGTCGTCAGACAAAGCTGTAGACAGCCGCATCGAACAGAAGCGTTTCAGCAGTTCAGCAGACCCCTGATTAGCAATGCCCCCCTTCTATGATGCTAATCCGAATGTTGGAAGAAGTTGAGAGGGGCTTCACTATCCAGGGATCTGCATTGCTCAGCTTGCAATGACACCGCCGACTCTCAAGTTATGTTATGGGTCTTTTTACCACCCTTACGAACATAGGCCCATCAGGGTCAGTATGCTCTGTACATGTAAGCCACGACATCCGAACCAGAGTTGTCATCGCAATGATCTTTTCGTCGCAGAAACACCGGAGTGTAGGAAGACCTTGCAGGAACATGCTTAATCCTGTTCCCCCGCAAGGCTGTTTAATAGTTTTGTTCCGGTTCAGAAAAATTTAACATCCTGAACCGCTTTTGTGCAATTCGTGCAGCTGGGCGGGTCATGAAACCCCCTGCGGCTTCACTGCCAGTAAGCCGTCCAAAATTCGGCGCCTACAACGAATTCAGTGTTCTTTGTGCATATCCTCCTCAGGAGGCTTCATTCTGCACGAGAACCGACGGAGCCCAGATGTTGAGGCATGAGAGCCAGATTCAAACATTCCGCTCTAGTGGATATTGACGCCAAGAGTAGTATGGTAAACTCTCCCAAATCCCTAAGGCTCTGCCTGCCGCGAGCGAGCTTGAGGCGTGAGCTGAAATTCCTGCACCTGCAGTGAAGCCGTCAAGGCAGAACAAGGAGTAGAACCCCAGCCCCAGCCAAAACCATAAGCAGCTCCAACCCGGTCGAAACTCCAAGCCCTGAAGGAAATTGAAGCCTTTAGACGCGCAGGAGAACCCTGGCCTTGCGCTTTGGGGCTTGGTGTCTGCCAAGGCTACACCCACCACCCTAAATCATTTCAGTCCAGTCCTTCTGCCAAGGCTAAACCCACCACCCTAAATCATATCTCACGCCTCCTCAAACCCTGAGCCCTAACCCCTGCAGGGTTTAGTCTGAAACCCTCCCTAACCGAAAGCTAAACTAGTCGATGCAGGGCTCCAGAGGAAGACTTAGCACCATCTGCATCGCAGAGAAAATGGTCGCGGCAGGGAGGGGAAGCGTCCCCTTGTAGCCCATGTGCTGATGCAACAAAGAAACCCGATTCTGAAGTTGTTTGAGGTGGGCGTGCAACAATAGACGGTCTTCTTGGATTTGTATGACCCGGTCCTCGGTTTGAGACGCCGGGATTTAAGCATGCAGAATTTCTGTGAATCCTGAGCCATTGCAGCCATGCCTGTCACGAAGATCTTGACACTTGGCGGTCAATCAAGCGATAATCGTCAGCCGGATGGTAGGCAGGCAGAACACCCTCGAAGAGAGTGGCAGGAAGAAGATGATGATGATTCAACGATGATACCAAACACCCCAAGCCGACCCAAACCCCGAACCACAGCACAGCACAGAGGCAAACCGCGGACTACACCACACCACACGGGGGCAGAGGCCGCCAATCAGTGCGGAGAGGGGTGGGGGAAGGGACGAACCGAGATCATGTATGCTGGGCAGGTTCCTGATAATCGTCGATACTGTCTCGGGCTCAAGTGCGTGGACATGACCGCAAGGGACGGTCCACGTTGTTTGCTCACTATGTAGTACGTCCATGCGCCCGTCGAGACTGTGTATCTTGGCAGGCTGTGGATTGCTGATCTCCAAGCCAAGGTGAAGATGTTCCTTTTGCTAATTCTGGTGGTTGCTAGATGACCCCATTGGTTTCTGTTCACAACTTAGGTTTGGCGCCGCTGCATAGTTACCTAGTAACTCTCCGAATAACGTGGGTCCTTGTTGTCGCTGCATTCCTGCAGCGAAAACCCGAAAGGCTGGCAGTTGAGAGTCGAATTCGGCCAAGGCGTCGTGGCCCTGTGCTCCTTCCAGCTTGCACTGACTTTGCGCGATGCCTCTTGGTCGGAATTTCTTCGGGAGGATCAGAGGAAAATCCCTTTGCCGACACCGCTAGCGATGATAGCGCAGGTGTAAATGTGGGTTCCGGTGACAGCACCATTGCGCGGAACACTTCGGAGCCTGAAGTGAGACGTGGGGAGACCTCTATTGCTGGTGTCGATGTGCGCTTAACTGCTGTTTGTTGCCACTTCCCTTCTAACATGCTCCCGCGCGACAGGACAGCCTTTGATCGTTGCAGTCGTAGTTCGATGTCTTGGGTCTTTGATGCACTTTTTTGGGAACCTCCTGAGGTCGGCGGATCGAAGAGCAAGCTCGGACCGGAGGTCGCTCAGAAGGAGGACCAGCAGAGCGCTTGCAAAGCTGATGCGATTGCTGCTCTCCTCTGACTTCTAGAGGGTCCTTACAATGAGGATCTACTGAAACTTCCATGTGGGGCTCTTCCTGTGAACTCCACTCCTCGTCTGGATCTGTCACCTGTGTGTTTAGGGAACCCTTAAGGTGATAGGGCTTTTTTTTTGGGCGGGGGGAGGGGGGGGCAAGGAAGGTTATGATTTACGGGAGAAAGGTAATTGAGGGAGACCTAAACCGTAAACCGCCTAAACCCTAAACCCATATTGGACCCTTGACGCCTCAAAGCCCAAGCCTCAAAGCCTCGCTGGGAGGGCGCCTCCAACCCCAATCTCCGAATCCAAGTTCCGGAAGACATGGGATGTCCGAGCCCCAGCACAAGTTCGCTCTTCTTCGCTGTTGGGACACCGGAAACCCACGAGAAAGAGATAAGAAGTAGCAGATTCGGGGTAGGTTGGGGGGGGTGCCCAGAACTTGTGACTTGTAGGTGCCGCAACTTCCTTGGCACAGAAGCCCCGCTGTTTCTGCGACTCCTACCTGTCGCTTTATCAGAGTGAGGATTAAGCCAGCGAAATCGACACCCAGACTAGACCATAAAAACGCCCGAGACGCTTGCGACAGTTGCGCTGCAAGGATTGTATAGAGAGATGACTGCCAACAGTTTCGACGAGTGCGCCCCTAAGGTGAGAATGCTGCAGAGCTCGCGTGGCAGCTTGGCCACCTGGGCCTACTAGGCGCGAGCCGATTCTCCAGATGCATCAAAGGGCAGTATGCAGATATGCATGTATACCTATGCATGGGAGCCAAAATGATGTACATATATATATATATAGAGAGAGAGAGAGAGATAGATATATATATATATATATGAGCCCGATACCTTTAGGGTCTATTTAACCACGTTTGTTGTCTTCAGTACATAAATGGAAAGTTGAATGACTCCTGTAGACACAAACCCATTGCAAAGGCATAACCCGAAAAGT